CAACACACACTTGAACAAAAGTTATTTAACACCCTTAAAAGTTGGTATATCTGTTTGTATTCTAGGTGTTTTATATGTATGTTTATGTATTTACGGAAAAACAAATTATAAATATGTTTATCACCTGTCTAGTACACAGTGGCTCAGCTTATTTTGAGACTAGATGGGCTATGCAACATATCCAGTGATGTTTATCTATTACTAGCTGTTTCCCATGGCTTTCCCTACGTGAATCAGTAAATAAGGCATCCTATGTAGTAAGTTAGGATATAACCTACCCATTAATTTATTTAAACTATAATTCACAGTGATATTATGTACATATGGTGGACTTAACATCGGACGGTGTTCTCTACCGGTCAAACATTGAACAAACCGAGAAATAAATAGGCGGTGCAATATTGAATTGAGGAAATATAAAAAGTAATTCTTAATATAAACTAGACTGATATAAACATACACGTAATATATTAAATAAATAAAAATATTCATACATAAATAAATACATAAAACAAACAATTTTCTGTATTAGAAGAGCAAATGAAATAATCTATTACTCAAAGAGGGTAACAAGCAAGGTTAATTTACCAAATTTCGTTCAAATACGTACAACCATTTAAGCGTGATCGAGTAACAAATAAACAACAAACGTTCATTTTATTAATGTTATTAAGATTAAATTGTAGGTAAACTAGAATACTACTTATAATCTGCTAAAACTATTTACCCAAAATATAAGTACCTACCGTCTCTCAGGACTTATAGCCAGTGAAGGGATTTACGGTTCTTATAAAAAAATAATAAATAATCCTCTATCGCTTCTATACGCCATAAACTTTAGCTCCGAAATCGTACTCACAGTGTTTACTCCTAGGACTTACAAAAATAATACGTCGTACTAATCCTTTTGCTCGAATGTATCGGCACGATTTTTTTTTACTGCTTTTTATTTCGAAATCACACGGTATTAATTTTATCAGAGGAGTCTTCCTCTAGTAAAATTGTACAATAATTAAATATATATCGAACATAGAATATTTTGTCATTATTGAAATCGGTTAAATAATCGTCTATATCTCTTGGCCTATCCTTTTTCCTACACGCGTTTCTGTTATGAAGTTTATAAAAGATAGAATATAGTAGAAAAATTTCAGGGTACGAAGGCATAACACCATAATCCTTAAACAGATTGCGCTCAGCTTTTTATCGCGTACGTCATAAGCGACACTTAAAAAATACCATAGTCCTCAGTAATGGCAACGCACATTTTATCTTGTGATGTTCATAGTACTATTCATGTCCATGGTGACGGTTACCACTTTCCATTAGGTAGTTTGCCGTTTCTAAATAATGTCAATAATTTAATATCAATTCTTAAAAATGAAACACATTAAATTTTTTCTATTGACGTTTTGTGTCATTTTACGCAAACGACTCTATAATTTAGAAATCTAAAATCCAGCAAATGAATCTATTCGTACAACTAACAAACTGTCCCAAATAAACATGGGTTACATATGAAAATAAATTCTAACATACTAACGTACTAGTAACAAAAGTAAAATTTCAGAATCGCAAACAAGTCCGTGATTTGTGAACACAAATGAAAATATCGGTGTGAACAGAAATATAACTATTATTCTTTCGTAGATCTTTCGGTAGATACGTGCTCTCCGACTTGGTGGAAAGTTTGATTTAAACATAAAGTTACTAGGTATCTGTCCAACAAAAAGAAAATTCAGTAGGAGAAATTCGGATTGTGAAAAAAATAAACCTTAGACAGCCCTATATTTCAGACGAATTTATGTTTAATACCTACAAATGTACTTATTATCTTAATAAGTATTATGATAAATATTTTGAATATGCAGTTAACTGTGCTCAAAATATTTATAGTTACCTATATAGCTACCTACATTGAAATACTGCATGGTAGATAATATTAATATCAGTAGTAATTAAATGTGGTCTAGTTAGAATTTTCATAATAATGTTTAAATACTGACAATACAAAAAAACTTTCTAACAAAGCTTGTGAGATGAATGGCATGTAGATAGTAAAAAAAATATTATATACAAATAAAAAAAAATTTTTTGTACATAAATGCATAATTTATAGTTTTTTGCTTGTCTCTATACCAATATACATCATCTGGATTATATATCATCTGGATTTCATCCTTTTGGGGATAGCTGAAACAGCTGATATTGTTATACCCTAATATTATGGTATTATTATTTAGCTACATTTTTGCTGACTTGTAGATACATTACATACATTACAATGTATCCAACATTACCTGTACGTAATATATTTTATAATATAAATCAAAATTTACATTCATAACTTAGATTTGCGGCCTATATTTGCTTTATTACTTTATTTCTTATTTCAATTAGCAAAAACCTGTAAAATTTATATAAAGATAACTGCTATATGTAAGTATATCTATCGCAATAGCATAATTTTTGTAGTTATACTTCGATTTTAAATTTTCTGTTTTAAGCATGCAGAAAATTGGCCCTCATAGAAATTTCTCTGATATAGGTAGTGTGAACATAGCGTGACGAATTCAACGAGAATTGTTCACGATGGTTTCCAAGGAGAACCACGTGAATAATTAAAGGTATTAAATAGTTTTTTTTTTCTGGATTTTATGAGATTAAGTATGATAATGATTAAGTATACAAAATCTAACCTTTATCTAGCTTTATGCAAAATCTAAATTAGAATATACTTTTTAAACAAAATCGACATCGAAATGCAATTCGATTATATTTTGTGCGTAGGACTAGGTAGATAGTTTTATAAAACTATGTTTTAATTCCTAAGAGTTTACCCCCGTATTGGTTAGATAATAATTATAATAGGAGGAAAGGGATTGTTAGTAATGGAGACTGAGAATCCCATTGCTAGCAATATACCCAACCAGGTCGACCTCCTCGTGGTTCTCCCTGGAAACTATCATGGTTAATTCCTGATGAATTCATCATAATGGGCTAACTGGCCTGTTTTCAATCTTATCTATCACCCTTCACTGGTGCTCCGCCAGCGTATCCTGTTAGCGCAGGCGGGGTTACCATACCATTTTCACCAACAAAAAAAATTATAATAAACTATAGGTACTTATTTACTAAATTATAAAGGTACTAACTGAATTCTAAAAAAAATTGTAAGACCGGCTTAGCTACAAATTTTTCTCCGAATACAGAAAAAACCTCGTTTGCCTTTCCTTGTTTCAACTTCTGTAGACAAATCAAAATAATACAAAAAACATAACAGACTTATTGATATAGCATTGAATATTACTTAGAAAAGTAACTGCCGAAACGCGACTTCAAACATAACTAACCTTTATAGAAGATTTATTGCTATCTGAAACATCTCTCACATATACATATTGTTAAGTAAACGGAATTTTTTGTTTCTTGTAACAATTTTTACCCGAATGACAAATAAAAGAAGGTATCGTTTTTCAGGTATAAGGTGAGCCAGTAGCCGGTATATATATATATAATACATGCATAATATAGTAGAGAAACACTGATAATTCAAAAGGTTTCTATTGTGAAGTGAAGTAAGATGCACCCGTGCGAAACCGGGGCGGGTCGCTAGTTATGTATATTAAACAATTTTACAATTTCAGTAGTATCATAAGACGTTTCTGTTGTTTTTACGGCACTGCTCATGTCTGTAGGCAACGGTTACAATTTTCCATCAGGTGGGCCGTCAGCTTATTTACTATTCTATTGTATAAAAAAAATAACAATCTTCTAACATAAATAAACTTGCCCATTTTGTAGTAAATACTAAATATATTTTGTAGCTAGTGAACACGATGCCCTAAGTTGAATTCGATCTTGTAATCGGAATAGAACGGGAAGTATATTGAACTTTATACCTTACTATATTTGTCGTGTATCGTTATGGGGAGTAGATAAGTACCTATCAGTCGGTAAGATTATTTCGTCTCCGTAAGAAGTTGTGAGGGTAACTTTGTGGTCTTTGGAGTTTTGATTACACTCCGAAGATGTTTTTGTGAAATCCCCTAAAATCAAAGAAACATCTAAACATAAATAAAAAAAGTGCTTTTATCACTATTACTTATACTTACTTAAATAAAGTACTTACCTAAATAAACCCAAAAGATAAATTAAAAGTACTTTATGAATTATCTATAACCGTAGGTATATCATTACTAGGTATGTAAAAACAGAGATCGCAATGGCCATATAGTTCGAAAATCCGAAAATGGAGTGACGGACAGCAGCGGACAATGCTTGTATATTAAATCCACATAATTTTTTCAGTAATCTTAATCGACCAAATTGGTGTTTATTTATGAGAACAAAATGACAATTGCATTAAGTAGCGAACCTACCTAATTTTAAATGTGACTGACTGCAATTTATTTCTGTACAGCGTGACTGCACTCAGGAATTGTTCGACATAATGCCCATGACTATTATTACTGCTTCGCTCGATGTCATCGAAACTATGTACCGTCTATGTACCTTGAATCCTATAAGCAGTGTAGCTCCAATTTCTCCTTCAAACATACAGGTCCTCCTGTAACTACTGTGGTAGTTTTTTTACAATGACAGTGGAGCTATTGCAGCTTATTAACTCTTGAAAACCTGAAGTCTCACTCCTTGTGACGAGAAGATGGCCATAGTACAACAAGTAGATTCACGTCAGTTTTAAATTCAATCCATTCGAACCGGAACACACCATGCTACTTTGCGGCATAGATAATAGATAATTATATGAAATTTCTCTATTGTTTAAATTCCATGACATCCTGACAAGTAATTATAATAATATTAATAATAAATAAATTCTTTAATAATGTAACCGGGACCTACAAAATTTTTATACAAAATTAATTATAAAAAAAAAAAGTAAAAAATACATATATAAGAGCTATTTTGGTCAGTGGGTACAACTTACAATATTTTTTTAATATAATCGATTAAAACTAGATAATAAAATAAAAATATTGTAGATTTTGGTTGTTTATTTCTCAGGAAGCAAATGATTCACAGCATTGGTGGGATACAAAGGTCTTACAATACTGGGCCGAAACATTCATTTTCCTGAAATGTTCATTTTTATTAGTAGTACAACAGCTTAGAATACATAAGTACCCAAATATAAAAATGTGGGAAAACAATGTTATAGATATAGGCATAAGATATTACAATTTATTTAGTAAAGCGAGTTTTCATTTTTATACCTTTATAATAAACTACACACCTTACTAAATCACAATTTCTAATTATGTCAAAATTATTTATCACATTTATAACATTCTGTACAAAGTAAAAAAATATTCTCATACTTCCACTAGTAAAAAATAAAGCTGCAATGCATAGAGTTTGCAACAGTAACTTTCATATTAAGTAGTGTATGTATTCACTGAGTACAAACATATTATAGAAGGTACATTTTATTCTTTTAGCAAAAATGTACTAGTATCTAATATATCTAGTATTGCGCACACGATTATGGTAGTTTGGTAAGTGAACTCCGCCTCATATCACACTCTATTAAAAATATTTAAAATGATATGCAGTTGTAATGCAACTGTAATTCTCGTGTATCATGGAGTGGTATTATTACCACAGCGGGTCTACGTTAGACATACTTATAGGTAGATACAATAATTAAGTTATTCATTCTATGTTTAATCTAAACTTCAACTTGCTTTAAATATCGTAATAAAATTGTTAAGATATAAATAACACAATAATTATGTTACGATGACATACAACCTTCATAAGGAGTGATGACTATCACATAATATACAACAGTCCCATACTTTAAAGATTGTATTTAGCGGAATCACTAGATTAACTTCGAGGAAGGACATGAATTCTCTTCGTTTTGAAAATCAACGAAACTATTTTAAATTGAATGTAATTAATTGATATGTCGATTACAATTTATAATTAACCTTTTATATTATATATATGCAAGGTCTTATTTTTATGAAATAAAATAAGAGGTTACACTACTTGGTATACTCGGTACCTCTACTAGCGTAGAGGAATATAATTTTCCACTATGTACACAAAAGAGAATACATATCCCAATATGAAGTAATACTTATTGAACAAATCAAACGAAAACAGCATACTACTATCTCGGCCACAGCGACTACAGCCGACACCCACCCATGCGCGTGACGCATCTGACACGATAAAAAAACTTTTTTTATTATTACTCAAAAACAATTATACAACCCTTCTAATTTGAACTTTTCTCAAAAAATGGGACTTGAAAAATGCAAAATTGTGATTTGTGACAGTGATCATAGAGAAACAAATATTATTTCTATAGGGACACTCGAGTTATTACAAAGTAATTTACAAATATACTCAATCTCTAAATATTATCTAATTATATAAACTGAACTATTTACAAAATATGAACACATCAGTCACGATGTGGCCAACTCTCTTACATATTTGTAATTAATTATTTACAATGACTATTATAAACATTAATTTAAAGAGCATTGTATTTCCATGAGCTTGATCAATTTAATCCCTTGTTCAAATTATAAAATTTTCATGCTGTACACATACAAAAAATAGGTATGCGGTCATTTATATTTGTTTTGTCACAATTCATATTAAAATCCCTTCTGAACCATTGAAGAAACAGTCCCTCCGTTCTGCTAAGCTCCAGTGAGAACCGATATTATTGTAGGGTAAAAATTTCTGGAGCCAATTCATAATTATTTTATAATTAGAAATCAGTCTTGGTCAAAGGAAATAATATTAGATTTGTTTATAAAATTCGTTATGTTCCGACTTCGAACTGCATATTAAATAGTCTAAAAGTTACATTGCTTTGAAGGCATTTTTATAATACATATAAAAACGAAGTGGCATAGAACAGAATTTTAGGGAATTCCATAAGTATCCCCATCAACTTTGTTGCCTCAAAAAATCGCAATGATTATAAAAAAAATAGACCGAATTGAACAGCAGCAGATGACTTGAAAATATTTCCAGTTCTAACTAGTACAATAAACATTTTATACTAATCATAAGGTTACATTATTATGATTTCAATTTTTAACATAAGTCCGCTATATTTATTTTAAATGTTACTAAACTTATCACCTCTCATACATTTCTAATTAATTATATTTAACTTGTACTAATGTACTGTACTACGTATTTATTTTGAAATATGATTGATGTTAGCTAGAATATAGAAACTGGATGTCAACACTAAATTTTGTTTAATTTATTGAAGATATATTAAAATTATTATTTCTAAGGGAATTAATACACTATCAAACACATAGGGACATTTGCATGTAAACGTCATAAATACAGGGTTGTGACAATAAATATATTAACATATTTGTTCTTAAACTATACAGTAAGTTATTATAACTTATAACAGATTTTTCTGCAATCGAAAGTCATCACTAGTTTATTAAATTAATTTATACATGACCTCTATATAATGGATAGTGTAATAACCCCCAAAAAAACGTTACTGGTACAATAATTTATAACAATTTATTACGGTATGGCACACTCATATAATGTAAACCCAACACAATTTAATCAAATATTTAGAATTTGACAAAGAAAATTAATAAAGGTTACATTATTCTCAGTCACTAATTAAAAACATTCATGAATTATATAATATTTGTACTTGGATTCTAAAAAATGCTGCAAACGCTATTATTAAAAGTAAAAAATAAGACATTTTAACTATGCAAATAGATGCAGTTATATTGTGTTTTAAATTTTTGTAGTTCGCCTGTGGATTGCTAAATGCAAATTTGAGATTATAAATTTATTTATTCGTCACTATTATAATCTATATTAAACCTGCTGCTGTCTCTGTAAAAAATAAAATGGAATTCCCTCCAAATTCTACAAAACAGCTAGCAGCCGCATTAGTAGTTCAAAAGATCATTGCACTTTCAATTTCTGGTGTCTAATCTGGGGGCCTACTTCATACATATATTTTACCCTGTTAAAATAATAATTAATAATAAGACATTTCGTCTTACGTAAAATTTAACTTCCGAAACACATCTTGCTTCATTTTGTAGCAACTACATAATGTTTATATTTTCTACAACACAAAATACATTACACTGTTATGTATACTCAAGAAACGTTGGAGTGGAATGTGGTCAAGACTGAAAGTGCAATTACTCTTAAACATAATAAATAAAAATTCAGTGCTCTCTATTAAGTTACTCCAATAAGCACAAGATAAATTGCTTATGGAATATTTGATCTACGATCAAAGTCTACATCACGGGTACCAATCTCATGCGTACGGGCTGGCTCTGGTCAATATTTACATTTTTAGAGCCATCACTTTGGTACTAATGGACAGATCGTACGAAGACATCGTGGAGTCTCGTACAAAGGAACGCCTCACCTCTGGAGTCCCGGGAGGGCCACATCCCGGCCGGCGATGAATTAGGGTCTAAGCGGGACCACTGGCGCCGGCGGCGGCGCGGCGCAGCGGACGGCCGAGCCCTACTTCTCTGCCGGCTCGGGCGGCGCGCCGCCGAAGTCTAACTGGTAGCCGCCGGCACGCGTCATCTCTTCCATACTGGGCTCCTTGCACTCGTGGCCGGCGTGACCCGCCGCACCGCAATTCCAGCAAGATAACTTCGGAGGCGCGTACAGCACGGGCACAAAGCCCGGGTACGGATTCGGAGCGGGAAACGGCGGAGGTTCACCATTGGCGAAGGGCGGCGGCGGCGGGCGGAAGGGAGGCGGCGGAGCGGGATACGCGTACGGTCGAGGGTACGGTACAAATCTATACAAAACATACAAATTGGTAATGCAAAAAAATATATTATCATAGCAAAATATATTAAAATATCATAAAAAATATATTATTAAAACAAGATAAACTCTTATATAATATAGATTCATCGTCATCATATCAGCCCTTCACCGCTGAATATAAGCATCCCCTTGGGGGGTTTAGCCAGTAGTTGTCACGCTTGGCAGGCAAATCGGCAATCGCAGTTAGGCTTTACAGATGTTTTAAGAGAGTTATTACAGCCCATCCCTCGCCCTCCCTTAATCGCCTCTTACAACAACCACAGGAAAGGAACGGGGTGGCCTATTCTATGCCGAGAACACACGGCCGTAGAGTACTCTCTTATAATATAGAGAATATTACTTTCACATTTCAGATAGTCTAATCATTTGAGAGTATTGACAAATTCTGTCCTTTTTTTTTGTTTAAGTGTAATATGGTTACTGGACAGATACTTTTGGATTATATATGCAGTACCTGGAATTAACACAAAAAGAAAACCCCAACATTTTGCTTTTTAAATGCAATATAAATTATTGCATAGATGAATCGTGAACAATTACAACATGCGTACATGAGTATCTACTATAACTTCTGTCACATGTTAGTATTACATTACACACACACACATGTATTATTTCATTTTACCCATGTCATTGAATTCCCAATGCCTAAGTCAGCGCGATATACATATAACATGTATGGTACGTACGGCAAGTGCGGTGGTGCGGAGGGCGTAGCACGGCGTTGCGGCGGCGCCGGCGTGCCGGGCGGGGACGAGGCGGCGCTCGAGCCACTGTCGGACGACGACCGCGTGCCCGGGTAGTACGCGCCGGCACGCTTCCGCACGCCGTTCAGTTTCTCTAGCGACCGATACTGTTGAACAACGCTGAACTCGCGTAGCCTCTCATCCCCGATGTTATGTCGTCTTTGCAGACGATCGACACCTTCTACCTGCTGGAATTATGAAATTATCAAGTATTATTATTTGCATAAATACATATATTCATAGAAAATACGGGTCTTCTAATTATGAATAATATAACAAAAAAGTCATTTGTATATGTTTATGTTAAACTCTAACTTTTCAATGGTCTGATTATTTACATTTGAAAAAGTCAATTTGAAGCAAATCAAATATAAGAAACATCAGTAATTATAGATGTGAGCACATTTTCTTCTACTTTTGCTACACAATTTTTAAGTTTCTAATCATTATTCATTTAATATTTCCGTATGGTAATTTTTGAGACAGACAGGATTTTTTTTTATTCTGCTCAATCAATATGTGCCAATCACACGTGGGCAGAGCCAGTTATAACATAATTACCTCAGCAAGAGCTAGATTCTCAAAGTTAACAGCAAGATGTAGGGCCAGAGGTTGGTCAGGTATAGACGTAGGCGGAGGTGGTGATCGGTCACGCGACATACGCCGACGTGTGCGAGGCGATGCAGTACGACTGTCGCCCGGCGACGACACCAGCGGTGACGTTGGTGCACCACCACCGCCTCCCGTGCCCGCACCACCACCAGCGCTTGGCGGATAATTTAAAACCTGGAAATGCAAATAAAAATCATTATTTCACGACAAACATAGTATATGTCTATACTTATTATTTATAACTAGCTATTGACCTCCAACTTTGAACGCCTGTACATAAAACAAAGAAACAAATAAAATAGACTACTTTTAGTTGATGTATCAAGATAATACATTCATCAGTTTTTAATTGAAATAATCAAAAACACAACAGTGATAACTGCATCCAATTGGATGCAGCAGCTTCAGAATGTCACTGAAACAAACATAAAGACAGACAAACAGAATTTTAAAATAATTGTATTGGATTCCATTATTAATTTGATTTAATTAGGTAAGAATGAAGTACCTTTCAAAGCACAATGCACCAGAGCTGATGCATTGTGCTTTGGAAAGAAAGCTCAAAATCCTGTAGCCAATAACAAGTCATTAACTAGGCTAATAATAAAAGGGATATTAATGGGTTGGTACGAAAAGACATGAGATACATACATACATATCTGTTACACCTTTCTCCCATTAGGGTAGGCAAAAACAGTGGATCGCCAAATACTTCGATTCAAACAAACTTCTTTCATTTCTTCCACATTCATCAATCCTTTCATACACGCTCGCCAGTTACAGGTACTTTTGATTTGGCCCTTCTTCAGCACGTCGCCTATTTGGTCGACATACATCTGTCTGGCGCAGCCCCTATCGACATCTCCATTCATTCTTCCTCGATAAACCTTTTTCGTAATTCTTCTTTTATTCATTCCCTCCAAATGGCCAAACCAATGCATCATTACCTTTTCGAATTTTGTTAATACATAATCTTTCAGTCCACAATTCTCTCTATTCACACTGTTCCTTACTGTATCTTTTAATGTAATACCACCTATACTTCAATTATCTTACTTTAATGCTTCTTTTACCATACCCATGATTTCCTTACATTGCATATAAGAAATACGAGTGTTGGTGCCAGTTTTCCCTGAATTATGGCAAGGCGAGCTTTGCTAAATATGCAGTGCACCGTTAACACTGTTTTCCACTTTCACTGTCCTTTCAATATTGAGATAGGCACTAATATTTATTTTAATAGACGATATGGCTCCAAGAGAAGCCAGGTTAATATCTCATAGTTCATAATATAAAAAAAATACCAACTACATATTGACTTTTTATTCTGTAAAGGGTTCTCAAGTCCAAAAGTACATAATTTTAAATTATGTACATTTTCTTGCAAACATTGTATTACTAAGAAAAATAAATAAAATTTATCAATAAAGGACAAATACCTCTAATGGTTGTGGAACTATAATATTCCCAGGCCATGGATGTTGCCCCATATATTCACCCATATTGTACTGGGGCATGGGAAGGCCAGGTGGAGGATGAGACACTTCTCCTAGCATAGGCATTACACCTCCTGTACTAGTTAAAACTGGGGGAGAGCCAAGCTCAGGCACTGCATCGGTACTGGGAGGCTGCAACAATATAATTCTTTTAGTACATGTTCTTATGTTTTCAAATTAACATATCATTGTATTTAATAAGTTAATGAGATTTCCTGACAAGATAACTACATAACCCAATACCACTAACATTAGTGAGAAAGCAAAAATTTTCATTTAAAACACAAAATATAAAAGTGTGAAAATATTATTAATAAAAATGAATTCAATTATTTCAATACAGATACCTATCTTATAAAATTATTATGGCTTCACCCATTTTAATGTATGACATGACTATTTCTCTAGGAAATTTCTTTCAATAATTTGTTAGTTATGTTACTGGACTAATGTAAAGTAACAAATGTCAAAACTTAATAAACAGATAGAGGTTCCTTCAAATTTATATTGGTCAAGATATAAATTGTAATCACTCATCTTGTTGGTGGCAATTATACACATTTAACAAATACTGATAGCAGAAATATAGTAAGTTATAAACATGATAGCTTTGTGACATAATATATTAAAAATATTAAGATAAGAAATACACCAATCAAGAAACTAAATATAAATAAACAACAATAAACCTTTGTCAATCAATGATGTACATTGTTACAGCAAATACATAGTACATACAAAATTTTTACAAATTAGTATTTTGTGACTTCTTATTGACTGTACATAAAAAGCTTTTTTAATTTTTTTTTAATGCATCAAAAATGGCAAATAAACTGAAGACCCACAAACTGGTAACCGTCGCCTATAGACATAAGCAGTACCATAGACATAACAGAGTATACTGTTTCGCCCATGATACCCCCCATGTATTGCCATTCCTGAGGACTCAAGTATAGCCTGTAAATTCACTGTCATATTCCACCCTTTAAACTGAAATACAGCCATGCAAACACAACTGCTTCATGGTAGAAACATGATTGGGACAGAGGTGCCCAAGTAAACAACTTTTGTACAAAGTCTCCCTCTGGTGAAATTAATAAAAATTAATGATTGCTAATTTAATTTACATATAGTTACATGATTTATACTAAATGGTCTTGAGTAAAAAATTACCTATAATAAAACATACAGATGTGCAAAGACAATAGCAATAATTAAGGATCAGACAGGCTGTATACTTGTTTGGCACCTTTGTAATATAAAAAAAATTCCATAGACATATAATGAAAATATTGACCCTTCTGCCTACTGCTAAAACTGTACCCTAAATCCTAAAATAATATTAAAAATGGCCTATTTCTAAATCAATGCTCTCTAGTTAGATAACAAAACTACCAATAGTTGATTTAGTTACAGTTATGACACCACTGCCAGTGCTTTCTTCTGTACGATTTACTTTCACATTTATAATATTTATATATAAAAATAACTTTTTCAAATCTTATAATATTAATGATAAGTAATCACAAATTGTTTTAAGCATAACACCTTAATATTAACCTCATAAACATTGACCCTATGTATCTAATAAGTAAATTAATATGAAAAAATATAAAAAATAATAATAAAGTTTCTTTCTAAAATGAATTAATTAACTACAGTTTAAAAATAAACTCCTTAGTAACATCATGAGTAGAGTACTTCATTCTCGTAAACTTCTGGTTAAAAATTCAGTTGTTTTTGAGTATATTGATCATAATGTTAATGAATAGCTGTACCTTAAGCCTTTATCCAAGTTGATTAAAACAATATCTTGAACACTAAGTTTGAAAATATAATCTATGCATGTACTAAATACAAATCCCTTTGCTTATTAAAACATGATTAAACATAAAAGTATATAAACTATATTATAATTAGCATTAACAATTAAATTGAAAGTATATATAATATATAAAGCAAGTAACATATCATCAAAACATCAAAAATAACAAAAATTGCTTACTTCAATTATAATTGTAGGGACAAATCACTTTTCATAGCACAATATGTAATTAGGCAATGCCAATCATAGACATATTTAACCAAATGCATAACTTAAGTATTTCATATATATACCTATACCTGTTAGTACAACACAAAAGAAACACACCTCACATTAATGTAACGAAAATAATCATTTGTCTACACTTAATATAGAATATTTACATGTATATAAACCATATAATTCAGTAGTGCTGAAACTACTTATAATGAAACATGCAAGATGAAAATAATGAATGGCACTGACCTGTACCCCCGGCGTTTTAACAAACATGATCCCAGGAGGCCCCAAGCTGGACAAACTAGGTGGTGGAACAGACATATTGGGTGTGACACTAGATTGGGTATGGCATACACTCACGGGTGCTACATTTATATGTTCTTGTTGCTCTTGGAACTGTATCCTCTGATCTTCAAGTTTCAATTTCTCTAATATTTCACCAAAATGAGATTTTTGATCAAATGTAAAAGCTGGATGATGTAACGCCATAGTGTATAATAATAGGATTTCTTCCAAAAGTTCACCATATAAACCTTTCAAAAGGCCACTTTGCTCCAAGCTGACCATAGCATTATATAGAGTAGTTGCACAGGCGAAATTGCACGACCGCAACAAAGAAACATATAAGGCCATTTTCCGTCGCGTCCTGGGGTCTGTGTTGGCTCCTCCAATATCTGCTGCCAAATCTGTGGGGTTGTTAGCTCTCAGTTCGGCACCACGCAACTCCTGAAAGTCCCGCTTACCGAGCTCCTCTAGATACGTGCCAATAAAGCGTAATTCAAATGGTAAACACATGTTTAATAATGTACACATTGCATCTATGCGTTTATAGCTTTCCAATTCTTTAAACCATGATACCACGTCCTCTTTGCAAACCATTTCCAGAACACATTGAAATTTTATGTAAAGAATCAACCGGTCCCCTGCAGCCGTAGCGCCTCCGTTGTTTATGATTCTTGGCTCACAAGCTGTTTGTGATAATACGGTGGTTGTAATCCAATAATATTCAGTTGTAACATTAGTGATTATATGCTTTTTATCAGTATTTCTCAAGAACAGTATATTGGTTAAGCAACTACAGGCAATGCTAGTACTTTTGTCTTGTTTATGCTCTTTAATCTATGGAACGGGTAAGGCAAAAGAAAAGATAATATGAATGAGTAGTAGAGCAAATAAGTACAGTAGACAAACTAAACATGTTTGCACTCATACCTACGGTTCAAGATAAATAATACTATCTATCGCATATATTAAAGCTTGTTAGCGATCTATATATGTATTTGTATTTATCTCTTTATTCATCTTTATATAAACATTGTCACAGTCGGAAATTATATTTTTCTTAGTTATATTGCATCCATAAAATATATAGGTAGAAAACCTAACAATTTTTATACACAGGTATTTGAAATGATTAAAACTAGTCGTTTATAATGCCTCTGTTGAGCAATTTAAGAACTAAATTTACTGTTACAAAATAGCTTTTTTGTTTGTTACTGGATTTTGGATTTGTACTAGAACAATAGAGTTGAAAGTATTATCTATATTTAAGTTCATATCTACTTACATAGCGATTAAAAAGCAATAGTTTTAAATAATATATTTTTTTAAAATTTCCTCTGATAAATAGCACCATTTGTGATCAAATAAAAAATAACAATAAATATTTACAAAATATTTAACAATTTTAATTCACTCCACAGAGAATAGCCATTTGCTAATCACTTTTAAATAGATATAACAAAAATAAAATGAGAATGCAAATTTTTGCAAAATATGTTATCAGTAAACAATTTAGTAAGCTTATTTTTAAACTAGTTATTATAAAAAGTTTTAAAAATCATAAAAGCTTGATACAGGTTAGTTAATCTAAAAAAAATAATATTACGGAACGCACCTGAAGCCAAGCAGACTTTAATCGTAGAAGTAGATTGTTACTCGGCATTTTTTTGACAGTTGGTTTTGTGACTAAACTCATTCATCATTGTTAAGTTTTATATTGTTCAAAGATTTGTCTTTATTGTAAGATTTGAACGCTAGAAAAATAATAATTAATAAAATGGCACCTGTTGATCAAGATGTGGAAATGAAGAATGTCGAGAGTCCTGCAGCTAGTAGTGATGTGGAACCTGGCGAAGTGAAAAAAGATGCAGACGTCCTAAGCGTTCAAGATTTAAGGGAACATGTTAGACAAATCGATAAAGCTGTAACATCAAAGGAACCAAGATTTGCAATGAGAGTATTGAGATCTCTTCCTAATACTCGCCGAAAATTAAATGGAAATGTTCTTCGAGCAATTATTAATCAAATTTATCCGTCAAGCCCCGAGAAAGAGACTTTACTGTCACTTGTTGAAAATCCATTGCCTGGCGCCGTGGAAATTGAAAACCCACGGTCCAGAAGTGCTCCGAAAACACCCGTCCCTGAAGTAGATGTGTATCTGCACCTTTTAGTATTACTACGTTTGCTGGATACAAACAAGTTAGAAGAGGCAACTGAATGCTCTCAACAATTAATGAACAAAATTACTGCACAAAATAGAAGAACGCTTGATTTGATTGCTGCTAAATGTTATTTCTATCATTCACGAGTATTTGAATTGACTAACAAGCTGGATCTTATTAGAGGATTGCTACATTCTCGTTTGCGTACATCAACTCTTCGTAATGATTATGAAGGACAAGCTGTACTTATCAACTGTCTGCTGCGTAATTATTTACACTATTCTTTGTATGATCAGGCAGATAAGTTGGTGAGCAAGTCAGTATTTCCTGAAAATGCAAGCAATAATGAGTGGGCAAGATTTTTGTATTATTTGGGCAGAATTAAAGCAGCTCGATTAGAATACAGTGATGCCCACAAACATCTGGTACAGGCTCTTAGAAAGGCACCTCAAACTGCAGCAGTTGGTTTTCGTCAAACTGTACAGAAACTAGCTATTGTTGTGGAGTTGCTTTTAGGAGACATCCCTGAGAGAGCTATATTTCGTCAAGCACCTTTAAGAAGGGCTCTGGCACCATATTTTCAACTCACACAAGCTGTACGTCTTGGGAATTTACAGAGATTTGGTGAAGTTTTAGAGAACTATGGTCCACAATTCCGTAGTGATCATACTTTCACTTTAATTCTTCGTCTTAGACAGAATGTCATCAAAACTGCAATCCGTTCAATTGGATTGTCATATTCTCGCATCTCCCCTAAGGATATAGCTAGAAAATTGGGTCTAGATTCTGCTGAAGATGCTGAATTTATTGTGGCCAAGGCTATAAGAGATGGTGTTATTGAGGCAACACTAGACCCAGAGAAGGGGTATATGAGCAATAAGGAGAGTTCAGATATTTATTGCACTCGAGAGCCTCAGCTTGCATTTCATCAGCGTATATCATTTTGTCTGGACCTTCATAACCAGAGTGTGAAAGCTATGAGATATCCACCAAAATCATATGGAAAAGAGTTAGAAAGTGCTGAAGAGCGCCGTGAAAGAGAGCAGCAGGATCTGGAACTTGCAAAGGAAATGGCAGAAGAGGATGATGATGGTTTTCCTTGAATAATATAAATATTAATAGATTATATTGTTAGTGTCTGAATTATTAAATACTGATAAATCAATATACTAGTATTTGAATATTAATTGTGATGTTTCAATTTAAATTGCTTTTATTAATATAAAAAGCATTTAATACTCTGAATTTATGATTCTGTTAGTCAAGGTAAAATTAAATAGTTTTTGATGTTATAATTTAACAATCCATATTCATGGGGATCTATAACAAAGCAGAAAATAATCTTTGATTCTATCAGGTACAAAAGAAATAATAATTACATAAATATTAAGACCAGTACGGGTATATAAATAAATATAATTTGATATGTATATAATATAAAATATAGGTAATGTACTCTAGTAGTTTGTATATTATACTAATATATAAGCTAGTTTCAAGAAAATTAAGATCAATCAAAGTCAACAAGGGATTTTTAAACATCAATATTATTAAAAAAAACTAATATTCTACATACAAGCGGAAAATTATGTAAACAGGGTTTCTTCTATTATTGCACAAATATGTTCATATACATTTCGGAACTATAGATATGTTTTTTTTTATAGAGATGAAAAAAATTATCAACATTATGTTATATCTTAGATTATATGCTATATATATAAATCCAGATATACGTTGCATCCTAGAGTTATGTAACAAAGTATACTGTTTTTCTTAACTGTTTAGGCTCGCAACATTATCTTGATCTCTTTTGATTTGATTGTTGCTCAACAAGGAATGAATTTACGCTATGGTAGTATACTATGGTTAGCCATTTCATAAATCTTTGCGTACAATTAAGAGAGTTTTGACACTTCTGTCATTAAAGGCCACAAGTAGTAGTAATAGAAGTATACCGTTTGTCCTTAAATTTTTATATTATTAAAGAAATATCTTAATTTTATCGATTACACGATTCTACAAAAAGAAATAACAATAGCAATTCCTAAGATGATAGTGGCAATTGATAGACAGTTTATTTTTCAGTCCCAACTCTTCGCATCTATAATATAAATAGATACATTTGCATATTACTGTTTTTTAAATATTCAGTTAATTAAGAACAAATTTTAATGTAGCGTGCATGCATTTCATACTGATCTATAAATAAAAGACGATGACGTGCAGTTCTATTGACTGGCGCTAATGTAAATTGGGTAAGATACGTCCTTATAGGTACCTACTTACTGTATCTATCAAATTAGGTGCATTATGTTTGAATATTACATACGTTAACTATACGTTATTATATACGTTAACTAGAGTCTGCGATTGGGGACGACAAAACTTAGTTCAGTTTAACTCCGCTAAGACAAGCTTGCGCGTTTACCGCTAGAAAAAACCCATTTGCTGTGGTTCCACAGTTCCAAGGCACGTCTCTTAACATTTCTAAAAGCATTGGGATCCTTGTTGTCCGTCAATTGTCCGGAATTGTACATCTCTAGTGATGTACAATTCCGTGGCCACCTCGAAGATAAGTCGAAGCTGGCATCAAAAAAACTCTGTGTGCTCAACAGAGCGAAGCATTACTTCACGCCGTGTCAGCGATTAAAGCTCTACAAATCGCAAATCCGGCCGCACTCCCAATACTCCATGTATTGCTGTCACTTATGGGCGGGAACACCTAGATACCAGCTTGAACCCTTCGGCTCGTTGCAACTACGAGCTATGAGAATTGTCAATGATCCCAGGCTCACAAACGGTATCGAACCCTTACGTCATAGGAGAGATTTTGCCTCATTCTGCGTGTTCTACCACGGATTGTGCTCAGAGGAATTGTTCAATATGATGCCCACAGCAACTTTTTACCATCGTAGGGCTCGCCATCGAGAGGGTGTTCATCCTCATGTCCTACAGCCTCAATGGTCGCGATGTTTCCTCCCACGAACACTCATGTTGTGGAATGAGCTCCCTGCTCAGGTTTTCTCAAGAGCCAAAAGGGGTTCTTCAAAAGGGGGTAAAGAGGTTTCTTCAGGGTCGGCAACACACGCGTAATACCTTTGTTATTGCAGGTGTTCATAGGCTACGATAACCACTTACCATCAGGTGGGCCGTCTGCTTGTTTGCCACCTCAGTGGTATAAAAATATTTTCATGACCATTCCATGTCGTAAAATATTTTTATTAAACGGCATGAAGTAAACCAGCTGGTTTACTTCTTCATAGCTATGCTTGATTACAACCTATACTCACCTGGGTATACAAAATGTTATGATTTAAATCTTATGATAAAAATGTATTCATGTAAAATGACGTTAATAAACTAAATATTAATTTAACCCATATGATTTGTTTTAATGGCTAATAATGGAATGAAACCTCGCCTTCGCTATTGGTATACACTGGCGGGGCATCAGTGAGGGATGATTGCTGAGGATGAAAAGGCAGGTTAGTTAGCTGATCGTGTCGAATTCAACGATAAATTCGCCACTATGGTTTCCAAGGGGAACCGCATGGAGGTCGATTTGATAGAGTATATTGATAGCAATAGCGATTCACCTCTCCATTACTAACAATCCTTTCCCCTTACCCTCTGGTCATTTAGCCCAATAGGGCTAATTCTCCAGACAATAACTACCTACGATAATTTTAAATTAGTACTATATGTCCGCCAATAAAAGAATCATAATATTCAATCACCATTATGAGAACATGGTGGACTACCGATTTATTTTGATTTATTCCAGAGGCCGTGAATTGGAATCTAGTGTATGTCATAAGTAACCGGTGTTAGAAAACACCTTTAACAGATGATATTAATTCACTATAGTCGTCATATTAAAAAATGCCATATTATAGTCCATTTACTCTACACAATAGCAACAGTGGCCTATGGCTGAAGTGCAAAGTTTAAAAAATCCATAATTATCATAAAACTTGCTGAAGCAAGAAAACCTCCTGCAAACGGAATATGCGAGTTGAGGATCGTTAGTGATAATAGAACTGTAATAATGATATTATTTTAGTTCAAAACCTAGTACCTACATACTTAGGCAATATCTTTGGTATATGTGATTAAGCTAGAAATATTGGGTATTATATTAAAATTCATCTAAGGTATGAGCCAATGAATTGGCAAAACAATTATATTATTTTGTTTAATTACCATAACAACAGTTACTATGACACTAATAACAAAGGTTAATGCGTAACGATATTTTTAATCAATAAAATTGCATATAAATCTAATTCAATAATAGTTCTCTGGGTTTACTGAAACACAATTAGTGCAAATAACCAAGTACCTAACTCGTAACTTAAAAATGGTTGAGTTCACACCCATCCATATGGAAAAATTGGTTGAACTTTTAAGACCACCTGAACCTGAAGTGTTACAGGGAGATGACTTAACTCCTTCTGGTATGTACCTACCTGTTAGGTAGTTCGTTTATTACGATTGGGGGGGGGGGGGGGGGGGGGGGGCGAGTGTAACTGGACTCGAAAAGAATCTTATTAAATTCGACGTTGGTATTTTTGTATCAACTAACAATCCTTACTGACTTACTTGGCAACCCCGGTCTCTCACTGATTTTTTTTAATTTTTTCGTCTTTTGCAAAATTTGGCACGGAACTCCAGAGGAGCTAAGACCTACCCTGCTTTTGCAGTCATCTGTACGGCGCAGAATGCAGGTCTCCTCTCCGCATAATAGGTAGTTACTTAGCTACGTAAAACGGATGCAATAAAAAAAAAACAGTTTAATTAGATCTGCACTGCACTTGACAGTTCTCGGTGAGTAACAAGGTCATTGTAACATTTATGCACTCACTACATGAACGACGGTCACAGAACTATTATTTCATCTGTGGTGTCTGAGTTGGTACGTTTCTACGCTTCATATTCAGATGCGAAATTATTTGATATCATTGATTTATTGTTCATACATATAATGCCATTCAAACTGCCTATTTGTTGTGTGGTAAATAGGATTATAAGAAATTTCGTTGATTTTAATTTCTTTATAATTTTAACTTGTGGTGTTTATAATTTTAAATATTTACCTATAATAGTATTATAGGTAAATATAACCGTTAACCGTGGCAGCCGTTAACTGTCCATTGTTATACCTAAGTGTTGAACATAGGCCTCCCCATAAGAATGGTTTTGCTAATAGATACCTACCATGCTTGGCAGGTGGGTTGGTAACCGTAGTTAAGCTTTGATCATGTTCAAAGAAGATCGGTGCTACCCATCTCTCGACTATTAAATTCCCTTAGTCCCTCTTACAATACCCACGGGAAAGTAAAAGATGGCCCATTTTATGCTGGGACTACAAGACGATTTACCTATAATAAATATTTATTACTTACAATAGGTTATGAAGTAACTTCATCAAGAGACAAAGTTCCTCCACCCGAAAACAATAAGAAGGTTCCGAAAACGATAGAAGAATTTGAGGAACAAGAAGCAAAGGAAGCTGATGAGTTGGGGCAGGTGGGAGCAGGCCTCGGTGATCGTAAGGTTCCTGAGTACTCCATGAATTATCAGCAGTCAGTCACAGCCGAGGATGTCTTTCTGCAGGTCATATAGAGTTATTGCTAGCCTTATGCTTAGAATGGCAAATAAGTTGACGACCCACATGGTATAAAGTGGTTTACCCAGATTCTATTATAGATTTATCGGTTCTCGACCAGTACGTTCGAGTTTAAAAAATTAGTTTGCATATATATTTTGAAAGTTTAATACTTTAATGTATTGTTTTTCCTAACCTAGTTTTAAAATTAAATAATTAATAATAATAATAATAAACTTTATTAACAAATACAGGGTAGCACTGTTACATATTTTTTGCCCTAGCTTACAAATTAGGGTAACCTGTGCCTTGTAAGCCAGTTCCTTCCAACACGCAAGAACTAATACTTTGTATTTGTACATGCAGAATTAACAATATTAAGCTACAAACATAATAAACATGATGATAAATTGATATGACGCAATTATTTTGCATTGTCATTATTTATACAAATAAATAATTGTATTTAACGCAAAAATATATACTGTGTAATGTAGTATTATATATGTAGTATTATAACACATTATAATCGTAAGTTATAAAAAGTAATCAATTATAATATATTTGTCTTAAAGACAAAATTTGTCCGGTTTTATTACATATCATGTCTAGTTTTAATGATGATCTAAGTATCTATCTACGTAAAAAAGAAGTTTTTGAAATGTCAAACGGTAAAAAATATATAAGTAGCTAGTACCTACTTGTAATAGGTAGGTATAATAAGTATTAATTTCTAGTATTTATTGTTATTGTTATATTTTATTCCTGTTTGACTCAATAATGTACATTATATTGGATTGATTTTACAGATTGGTCCAAAGACTCCGTCGTCAGCTAGTTGTGAAAATCTTATAGTGAAAATTAAAATGCCAGGAGACAAGAAGGAGAACGTAGATTTATCTGTAGATACAAACAGCGTAACTGTTAATTCCTCGCGATATTCCTTAAGACTGCCTCTACCTCATGGCATAAATCCTGACGCTTCCAAAGCAAATTGGAATACCGCCGATGAAACCTTAATTTTAAGTTTGAAATTAGATAGAGAGTTTGATTTTATAAACTTTTAATTATACCTATTAAAAAACTAAATTTGTTTTATGTAGAAGAACTATAAACTATACTTTGCTTATATCTGTGCATTTAATAAGAAAAGATTTGAAATACTCACGGAACCAGAAAATAACGTGATGCATGCGGTCGAAGTCGAAGAAAATGGCTTATTTTAATGCTTAGTTACATTAAGTAGTCTATATCAATAACAATCATCTATTTACTTTAATTTTTAATCATTTTGAGTAACTACCGCAGAGTAAGTAATTACTAAGTTATAACAGTTTAAAATTACCAACGACCGACCTTTGGCTCGCATCATTTCTAAAAAAAAAAAGTTTGTTTCTTTAAAATCTTATGGAACCAATTTATTGAATTAAAATATATTGCACTAAAAAGTTAGCAGTGTAATCCCGGCATAGAATGGATCATCCCTTCCTTTTCCGTGGTGTCGTAAAGGCGACTAAGGGAACTTAATCGTTGAGGGGTTGGCAGCAGCGTCCCTTCTAAAAGGTAACCAAAACGTAACTATGATTACCAGGAGGGTCAGGGATTGTTAGTAATGAGATTCAATAGACCCATTACTAGCAATATATCCTAACAAGTCGACCTCCACGCGGTTCCCCCTGGAAACCAAAAATAAACCACGATGGTTTATTTTTGATGAATTCATCACTATGGGCCAACTGATCTGTTTCATCTTCACGTATCGTCTCTCCCTGGTGCTTCGCCTGCGTATCCCGATAGCGTAGGTGGGTCACCATTTCATTTTCATCCATTAAAACAAATAAAAAAAACTGCGGTCACTAACCTGTTTGCCAAGCGTGGCAACAATTGGCAAAACCCCCAAAAAGTTTGTAATGAGCAGTGGACAGTTAACAGTTGATATGATAATGATGACACTATAAGTATTTAGATCTTTTATGATATTCAACAATATTGCTTTGTGAATAGAAGCAATTATAAAGTGAAAATTAGTGAATGTACAAAAGTATATAAATAAATAAATAAAATAGTTTACAACACTATGAATATTTATTTATTTTATTGTGGTGTGGTGTATTTACCGTTTCACTCATGACTATACGGTTATTAAGTAACAGCTCTTTATTATTAATAACGAGACCGGAGCGGAGCTTCAACTCGAGACCGATAAACTCACACTATTTGTAAATATATATTAAATCAATCCTGAATTCTTCTACCCAAGAAGATTAATAAAGCTGGCACCAAATGTATAAACCTGATCAAGTTAGTGAGTGATGGCTCATCTATGCCTATTAAATTTGTAAATCTCCCCAGTCCTCCTCTTCCCAGAACCGTAGTATTGATACTTCTGGTTGGTGGTTCTAGTTTCATCCATAATAACGGCAACGTCGACTTTTAAAATAACATAGGCACTGGTACTTATTCTGTGTATCAATTAGTATCAAAATTGACCTAAAATATTTCCTGTTTTGATTATTAATAATAAATCGTAATATTGAATACATATATATTTAGTGTCTCTATATAAAACAAAAATCTAATGCATATCATCAAGACATCATAAAAATCGCTAAGTATTATATGTGTCTATATATATAAATATGTATTATATTATTTGCAACACTACGGTACCTATATGGAAAATAGTATGTACCGTTATAAACAACGATGATAAAATGATTACAACTTATTGTTATAGTTCAAATTGTCCCTTACTTCCCAATATCTATTAACAATATGTTCGCAATGATTTATGGAAGCGTGTGTTCAGTATAATTTGTTATCTTAACTTAAATTTGTCACGTAAAATGTGGCTGGTAATAATTTAAATAAATAAATTAACTAGTCTGGCCATAAATACTGTTATATAAAAACTTTTCTTTATTTCAACTTTTTAATTATTTTGAATATAGAATACGTTTATTATTTTAAAAACTTCTTTCGATTTCGCGCCATTTCACATATTTTTTCGTGTTCTTTATCAAATTATAATATGGACTTGGAGTGATCGCCTTGCACAAAGTGGATATGGAGCCGTCAGTCATATTCCAGATACTTAAAAGCTTGGTATCAGCCGTATGTTCGTATATCGAACTATCAACAGATACAGCAACACTTCCTCTGTCGAAGATCAGAAAAGATCGGGGCAGCCGCGTGCTGTTATAACTACAAAGGCTCTTAATGCCTGCTGTTAATATTACTATTTTTGGAATATGCGTTTTCAAATTTGGCGGGAATTCAGTGTGGAGCATCGTCATTAATTTTGGTGCCGGAGTAAGTACTCTATTTATTTTATTCTGATTCAATATAGATTTAAAGCCTTAACGTTTTTGCCTTTTGAGTTCTAATTGAAACTTCTACGTAATTTTTTAGTCGAATTCGTCAATTCAAAGTGCATGAATTAAAGTTTTACAGATTGAGAACGTGGGGAAGCGAAGGTACGACCAAGAGTCGACTGCTGTCCCTGTTGTAGATAATGTTCTAACAACCAGATAGATAAGTATTTGTGATTTTATTATATTTACTTATAAAGTGAGTATTAGGTTACCAAAAATGCAGATTACCATCACAACTTAGCATCACAATCAACTCTCCCAAATTTTTCGCAATGGGTATCATAATAACCCATCGACGAGCAGAAAGAGTCATGCGTAATTTATTTTTGAATATTTTATATGATAAATACTTATAATAGCAAACAATCTACCAGGCCACATAATTGAAAGTTGATTGAAAAAGTTGTGAACAGTACCTACTATGAACATTACAGAATATATTGTGATACCTATGGTACAACTCAGGTGTTGCCGTTCCTGAAAACTTTAGTGTTGTTTCTGTATTCTGTAACTAGCTCGCGGCTTTGATCGTGTAAATGAGTATGTCAAATATTTTATATAACCTTATATATTTGATATAACCTACTGATGTACTAAATTTTATTCAATTTTATTCAGTACTTTTTGCGTGGAAGGATAATAAACATCTATCCATCCATCAATTCATCTTTACTCACTTTCGCGTTTATAATATTAATTTATTTTATTTTCTGCCATATCCAATTTTTTCAAATCTTAGGACTCTTTATTTATAATGAAGTGGACGGTTACCACGTCTATAAACATGAGCGTTGAGCGTTGCTATTCCTGAGAACTCAGGTGTTATTCCTCTGAAAGAAGATAAAAAATTTTTTTAATAATTTGTGTAGTTTTTGAGTTTATTATTTACAAACATATAAAAAAATCAAATCTTTCCTTATTATACTATTAGTAGGTATAAGGAGATAGCGCGACACGTGTTTAAATATTGTTTAAAATCGAAAGCTGTAGACATACGTACCTATCTATTTCATATTAGGCGTCGCCATTCTTAGTTATTACGAATAGTTAATAGGGTAGTCAATGTGACACATTACTTTCAACAATTTATCGATATTCTTTTCATGAATATCACGTTGCAGAGAAGGAAATTGAAAAAAAAAGTTGAATGATCATTTTTCTTTTATGCGACTTAGAAAGATATTATAGATGTTACAGATATATATATATATATATATATATCTATATATATATATATATATATATATATATATATATATATATATATATATACTTTGTAATTTCTTTGCCATATTCTACTTTTTAAACTGAAATACGAATACAAATGCAACTTTATTATTAAAAAACTTTTTCAATCTTAAAATATGTGTACAGAACTAATAAGGAATTAAATCATATCAAGCAACTAGGTAAAGATGAATTGAATACGTCGCGAGTAGGTACTTTTTTCTACCTTTTAGAATTTGCTTAAAAATAACATTCATTGGGTTATTGAAATTGTTAATTATTATCGATGTTTATTATTATATCTGTCGATATGAAAACAACCCTAGTAATATAACCCAGGCTGGCGTCAAGGCGTCAATTTGTTAAGAATATACACCATATCAATGCCGGTTTTAATTGAATGACTTGAAGCGTGAGAATAGCAATTTATGTAGATTGATATAGGCCATGACTAATTTTAGGTAATTGTTTAACAATTACAGTTCTAGGCCTATAAAATTATGTTTGAATATATATATATAATTTACAATATTTTAATAATAAGTACTAGGTACCGAAATGTACTATAAAATTTGGAAATACTTAAGCGAAATTAATAAAATATAAATATATACTGCTTATGTACCTACCTAGTTGCCTACCTAGTAACAATTAAATAAATTAGCCTAAGATTTTTTTTAAATTTATCCTTATTTTATCTATCCTTATATTATAATTATTTAATATGTGATGAAAATAATAGACCGTTTGGCTAAGTTTGTTTATACGAATAAAATAGAATGAATAGTTACAATAATTAGGTTCCTATTATACTTTTAATTATATTGCCTCGTATAATTATGTCCTATAGGTATCTACTGACGACGAGTCGTTGAATTGTAATGACTTATAACAAAGAAAAGGTCTTCGCAATTACAGTGTCAAAATAATAATATCTGTCAGTAAATAGGGTTACGTAAACGTAGGTATAATTATATATTTATATTTTATCTTACTAATATAATAAATGTCTTTCCTAACTTTTATTTATAAAGTTTTTTATATTACTCCCTAACGTTAGCGCTAACTTTTTGCTTCCTATTTTCTACGCGTGTATTTCAGCAGTAAAGTAAAAATCTATGATATAGATAAAAACATACATCAGATTTTAGGTTAGAGCTTCAGGAACACAACTGTCAAAACCTAATACCATTTTGGTTTAGTAATTTTGTAGTGAGTGATATCGAAACAAACATACATAGAGAAAGACGGATTTCCAAACAAAATTAATTAAGACTCTAAATTTTTTTTCAATATCTCCCATATATAGACATCAACTATTTACAATTTTATTATATTAGTAAGATAACATAAGGCTATAAAACTCCATTTGATTTGTTTGCAAATATCATTTCAGCATTATTCTAGTTACGAGTACATAACATATATATGTAAAAACATTTGCAGTATAAAATACTTTCTTATACAATATAATAAATAGTATTGTGATAATAGGAATTATACCGAATTTTACTAGCTTTCTTTTTCTGGGTGGAAAACCTGGGCCAGTCTCTCTATAAATAGTATCAAATTTATTTACAACTAACCTAATAGCCCAGACAATAGATTACAATACAATTGATTCTTATCTTCAACTAGCTGTGCTTGCGACGACATTCGTGCGACAAATTAGTAATTTTTTCGTCAGAATTCTTCTAGTTTGGTAGGTATAATACTTATATAGGTATTTCATCTTGCCCTTATTTTGAGTTGGCATTTCTCATTTATTTCGAGTTGGCATAATATGTGTTTAACCATATTACTCAAAGGTTTTGATTTTTAGTTTTACGACCGGCCACTTGCCTGACATCAACCCTCTTTGGAAATGCGTCTCTTGGTCCACCATCTATGGTATATAGGTAAAATCTAGTCATATAACTCTATACTTATCTATGATGAAGAATGTGGATAAAAACTTGAAAGCAAAATTTTAATTACTTTACGAGTAATTTAAATGTTATATTGCCATTTATTGATATGATACATCAAAAGTTCTGTTTCTTAAACATAATATTAATTGCTTTGGCTAATTTCTACATACTGGCAAAACCATTCCTTTTCCCTGACTTTCTTACTATAAAATAATGCATTTGTATTGCCTACGGAACCATCATTAGATATATTAAATTCATATATGGCATTCCCATTTTTTGTTTATGTTAAGTAATGATTCTGTATCAAGGATCATTTCGCGGTGATGCCGCTGCGTGGCCAGATTCATTCGCTGGTGTATTTCAAAACACTCATTCGTGTGATACGGTTGTGAGATCCATGCATTCAAATGAAACAAAGTAAATACATAAGGTTCTAATTTTATATTATTTAAAAATGATACTATTGCTCAACAGAGTACACAAAATTTTGGAAGTCTGTAATTAGTGAGCGCATCTGTAAAAATACTTAGAATACAGGTAATTAAAATAATTCGTCTTCACAATTAAAAATGTAAGTAGATCCAATTATTTTTTTATTTTCTTTGTTTTATGTTAGAAAATCCTGTTCTTATTTATCTACCTGTTTTAAAATTTACAGTTGTTATCATAAAAATCTAGTATATGGTATATACTGCCTGATTTTTAAATGAATATTATTGATTTATTTCACTATATATACATATTTGCACATAAGAAATTACCTACAATTCTCTATATTAAATAAAATATTTTTTTTTTATATTAGGTTTATATTAAGTAGAACATTATAAAAATAATAAACAATGTATTTTGTAAATTAAGTATAATCTATTATGTAAAAATATTCAATATTTGAATCTTAAAGATTATTACAGAAAATAAGATACATTTAGGCATCTAATTTTACATTATATAAATGGTATCCAGATATCACAAGAGAATACATTTAAACTATATATCAGTTTACAATTTACTGTATTAAAAAAATTTTAATTGGATGTGTAACAAAAAACCTAAAATTCAGAATCTCATTCAATAATTACACTTAGAAGTCTCCCGAATTTAAATGAAAAAGCATTTACTGTATGAAGTCAATAATTCCTTTTATACTGTATTTCAATTAGAGTCAAATAATTAACGTAAATATATCTCTTTTTTTAGATTTTTATCTTGTAGACATAATGTTTCTATTGCTACAAACATAATACTGAACTATCAATATATAACTATAATTTGAGATACTAATAAGAAAGAGTCACTCATGACTTACTTATAAGAAAATTCAACATTTGTAACTACAAGCATCGATGATTGTTTATGAATGAGTACATAATTTGGCTGAATGCGCTCTATATTTAATTTATTTTTTAATTGCCGATTTTGCGTTTTTTTAAATATTTTTTGACGCAAACTCAGTGTATGATTGTTGATTATTTTTATTGTTCCCACTAAAAGAAATGACCTTACTATATTCCAGTCAATCATAATAATATTATTAAACTGTTAAACTTCTTCACACTCCAACTCACGCTTTCACTACACTGTAATTTATCAATTTACATAAGTGACAATAATTGGTAACAAAGTTCATTAATTTCCCGTTTTTTAGTTATACATAAATCTTCTTACACGGCTTTTTGTTTATAAAAATCCCGTGTTGCGATGTTAGTTCACGGTAATCTTCGAAACCGCTTAATCGATTTTAGTGAAATTTTGTAAATCTATATTTTCTTTTATGCAACTTAAAAATAGCAAACAAGCTGACGATCCACCTAATGGAAAGTGGTAACCATCACCTATAAAAACCGTGCCATGGACATAATAAAGTACACTGTTTGCTCCTACTTGAAAAGTATACTAATATCCTATAGTTTTGATTCCGCATAATGGATCCGGTAGATAGCGATAGAGAGCGAAACATTATTTACCGGACCAGCTAGTAGATATATAATATGAGTATAAACATAAATGTATAAAAGCATATGAATAAATAAATTTAAAAAATAATACAATAACTGTTTGTACGTAGTACCCAGATATTAATATAGTAACATTGGATTCCACAATTACGGCTTTTTTTTTATCCCATCGTCTTACACCTGGTAACGGATGTTACCTTATTAAGTGAACAATAGAGCTTCCTATCATCATGCTGGCTAAACGGTCTGGAATAGGGTTTTATCTCGAATTTTCGTTTTTTTGTACTGATGTACAATATTTTAATTCCTTAGACACCTTTTACAACATCCTAGGTATGTAAAAGAGTGATATCACGTTATATTCTTACATGTAATATTAATTTAATATAATTTATATTTCTAGAATGTTATCCAGAAGTGTGTTATGGATTTATGGATTTCTTATATTTAGTGCCATATTAATGCTAGATTCCTTGAGGACATTAGATGATAAACGTAAGTTATTTTGAGGAATTACGTAGTTTATAATAAGCTAAATATTTATATGTAATATACATAAATATTAATCTGTATTTATGTTACTGTATTTCACTTGAATTGTTCAATTGTCATTGTATATTTTTGTTTATGGTGCAATAAAGTTAAATAATAAATAAATATTCGTATAATACTAATAATAATTGTAATTGATTATTTTCAGAATTATTTCCACCCAGCAAAATACCTGATAATGCTTTAAATCCACGACGTTCAATCGTTAGACGAAAAATAGTGTTATATCACAACTTCTTCCGTACGAAAGTTCGTCCCTCGGCGTCCAATATGCTTTTAATGGTAAGAGTTTGATTCTAAATTATAATACAGTATCAATATTCAGTAATAATGACAGCGTTGTTACCTATCTAGAACAATTTAAGGATAATTAATATTAGGTCTGTATGTCTATTTTTTTAATTGTTCCCTTAAAAACTACTAGCTACACTAAATTGGTCACGGTTTTCGCACTTGTATTCCTGACGGTTTAACTTAAATTCTTAAAACTCATCTAGAAGTGGTTTATTTCATTGGTTTTCCTGCGTCTGAAATTCACGCGTACGAAGTAGCGGCAAATAGCTAGTTTGAAATAAAAGCATACTTTTGACAGTAGATCAGTAGTTAGATTTTCATCAGTAGACTTTTAAAATAACTCGAAAGAAAATAAATGTTTTTTCGTTTTAATCATGTTAGTCATGACTAAAACGAACTAAGTAGGCACATTATGAATTCATATATATACCTAGTAGTTACATAATATACGGTTGAAATATTATGTGATGCTTAATAGACGGGGATTATTACAATATAGTATTATCCATTATGCCAATAATACATAAATAAAGATACAACATTTGAGACTTGAGTGTATGTATATTATAGAGATAGAAGATGTCTAGTAAATAACAGATATTATATGCATACTGATTCCTTAACCACACATTGAGGCAAGTATATTTACCGGCAATAACAGAATAAATGACATAATAACAGAATGATTATATTTTAAGTGTTAAAATATAATCACTCCGAGAATCTGGTGAGTCTAAATAACCCAACCAATTTCAATTCAGGTCAAGTCCATTTGTGTGGAAGAGACGGCTAAAATATAATGATTACTTGCTCTATGCAGACAGCAGGGCGACTATAATTGGAATCCTAAAAAACATAAATTTTATATAATACCTAACTATATATGAGTTTATATATATATGTATTTATCCATATTTTACATTTTCAAACGTCGTTGCATCAAAGTTATAAAAAATTGTTGTTTGACCAATCAATCATAATGTAAAATAAAAAATGTACCTAGAAGGCAAAGCAAAAAGTGGAGAACAATTATTTTATTGTTCTCGTTTTTTATTACGATAAGATAAACTAAAAAGAATATGCACAATGATGGTAATTGTACTACTGCATAACTTTTACTTGCTGAAGTTGACTAATAACATTATTTATAATTAAAAATAATCAGCAATAATATAGGTAATTGGATACACATTTTATTCAAATATATATTAATTTTTATCTAGATAAAGACCAATTTGGACCTATCTATATACATATATCTATAGTATAGACGAAATCTGTTTGTAGTTTACCTGGGTTTCATATATTACTAGCTATGATCTGAGGCTTAGCTTGAATGAATATTAATATTAATAGTTTAATAAATATCTTCTATATTCTTGTGTTTATACAATATAGAGTCCGTCTTTGAAATAAAATCATAGGTTAATTCAGCGATTTTAGTATAATTGAATAACAAATACAAGTGTAAATTGAAATTGAAATCGACAGGACACAGATCCATTTATTCCTTAAAATTAAACTACGTGCTATATTTAGTTGCTTTTCATATTAGTTAACAGTGCGAAGTTGGAAATATGTGCGATAATTAGTTATAAATTTATTTTTCAAGCGACCCGACGTAATCGAAACAAATTGAGTGTGCTGTCATTATATACCTCCATAAGAAGAGATTATTACCAATCATCATCCATGAAGATATGGTCATTATATTAGGAGATTCTGTTATATTTATTTATTAAAACTGAATTGAAGCGTGGTAGAGGCAGTGTGAACGTCCACTACTGACGAAAATATTGGAAAAATACTTAATTTAATTATGAGTGATAGCAAATTAATAATTATAGTTGTAAATATTAATTATATTCAGTGTTATTTAATAATATTATAAATTTGGAAGTTCTTAAAGACAATTACATAGATGATCGAAATTATAAGAATAATTTATGAATTAATCCAAAACATTGTAATTAACAAATTAGGTTTCCACAAGACATCAGCATGGTGAGTCCTGCGACAACAGCCGCAAAAAAAGCCAAAACCATTCAATTGAGTAATAAAGAACAAGGGTGACAATTTCACGCGACATTTGAAGCCGCCGATACACATGACTTTTTGAATTACTTTGTTACATGGAACTTACTTCGTTAAAGATAGATCCGACAAATGTCATTGGAAACAAACAATAATCAAAACAGTAGAGAAGAGCAGTTCACCACCCTTAAGGGTAGTAAACTAAATCGGACTGAAAGGCTAAACTGATTTTGTCGACAAATAGAATAATGGCTTCAGTATTCTAGGACTCGAAGGGCTTGCTTATGGTTTATTAAACAAGCTCAGACCATAAACTCCGATTATTACTGTATCTTATTACGTCATTTACGTGAGTGAGAAATTAAAATAAAACGTCCAGGAATGTTTAGAAGAATAGTCCTGTTTCATCAAAATAATATCCGTGTTCACACATTTGTGCAACTAATAATTTTTTGCTAACAATTTTTGCTGACAACTAAAGAGTCAAAAAAACATATTTTTAATGGGAGTTTTATTTGGTAATAAAATTAATAAAACGTTTTATTGTAAATATAAGAAAATTTTATAACATAGTATATGAAATCATGGCCAGAAATGTACATAAAAACAAAACAGAGTATTCATTATCTGATATATACTTCTGTTTAGGCTAAACAATAATCAGGTTTAGTTATACCTATTTAAATTTTAAACAGAACTCGACTGTATTTTAATAATAAATCAATCCCTCATCAATCGCATGTTAAATAAAAAATGAAACACTTATCTAGGTATATCAACATGAAACTATAATTATATGAAGAAAAGCTATTTTATAGCACCGACACAAAAGTTAGTTAAGATTAGGAGATAAAAAATTGTTAATACTGATACTATTTATTTCAAATATAAAAAATATTTATAATAAATAAAAAAAAAACAGTATATATAAATAATGTAAACTAAGTACTTAATGATGGCCACCAACATATATTGGCCTTGTTATTTCAAGCGAAAAGCACTACTGCATTATGAATTCTCATCATATAACTTTCAAGGGTAACATTATGACAGTTAATGTTTACTAATTAGATTTATTTTATGCTTTTTTGCCGTTTTTTGATGTACATATATATAATATATATGTAATAACGTAATAATATTAATTACATATAAACTATTTCTTGTTTTATTTAATTATACCTACTTCAATTATGAGCGGCTTTTAGATAAAACTTTAATTTGTTGCAAAATATATACAATGCAATACGTGAATGAAATTTCTATGATAAACTATAAATAGATACACATCTATTTTTAGAGTTCTTATTAGATGATGTAAACAGGATGTGGGCCTTTTTTAATAAAAGATATAAACTTATTTAATGATACTCTAATAAATCATATTATATTAAATCCTAAAAGTTACAAGTTTTGGGTACTACTTACGAAACGAAGTTCATTTCAAAATTATAGACAATATATACAAAAATATAGAATAAAATAAACACTCAAATTGATGACGTCATCTTTTTTAAAGTCAGTTTTTACAATTATGTATTTATCAAATAATCGACTTTTATTTTTTTATGACTTATTTCAGTCTTGGCATGAAGGGGCAGCGCGACAAGCCCAGCGTTATGCAGAGCAATGCGTGTTCCTGCAACACAATGACCCGAGGGAAAACACCGTGCGCAATCTAGGTGCTTGTGGACAAAATCTTTTCGTTGCTGCACAGAAGACTCCATGGTAATCAACCTTATGGTACATTTTCTATTTTAGGGATTCTAATAAGCAAAAGGTACGGATATATAATAATTATGTAATGATAATAATTATTATATATAATTTTCAATGCTTGTCAACATTTACTACCCTAAATTATTGTTGACAAAAAATGCAATACAATAAAATTCATTGTGTAAGTAACTTACCTCCTAATATTATTTTTATAAATATTAATAAGTTCTTTCATGATTTACTGACTTACTGTCGTTTAGTACCGCTTTCTATTATTTATTCAAAATATAAATGTATTTGAATTGCATAATTTATAATAGTTAATATTTCGGTTTCTTGGTATTACATGTTATACTTATTAACGGTTATGAACTGCATTTCATGCGAAAGCGATAAGCTGCATAATAAACTAATGTGTGACGTTACAAGTCAAGGTTTCTTAATATTCTAATTATTACAAAAATTCCCATGAATGAGATGATAAATTATCAGTCTTGTTTAATTTAATTTTTTATTAGGTGCAATAAAGTATATTGTTGTCTGTATTTATTTCCGCGACTAGCAGTTGTGTTCGTCACGATTTTTTTTTATTTCTCACTCCTTGTAGATAATAGTAAATTCGTGAACAGATAATCGATTTCACAGTTAATAAATAATAGTGAATACACTGCCCTTAATGCTCGTAATCGAGCTATGAGCATTTATTCTTCCGGAGGATAATTGGAGGCATTAAATTGTCCATTTTGATATGAAAATTAATCTGTATAACTTTACACGTACGAGTATAACAATGTAATGAATTGCTTAAGGCATATAATGGGTAAGTAATACAATAATAATTGTATACAGACTTATTTTTTATATAATCTAAAATGACAAGGTAAAGCCCACCTCATGAAAGATAACAATTACCACTACACTACACTAGGAGCATCACAGTATATTCTGTATATTCCTTACGCGTTCCGTTCCTATGCATTAAAGTTATTATGCCTCTAGTATACTTTAGAACTCCTAATTATCATATTATTATTTATCTTGATATAATTATCTACTGAACTTGCTTAGATACATATAAACATATATTTCCGTAAATAATATTTAATAACTCGTTATGAAATTTCGACAATTATCAATAATATGATTTCTTTTGCAAATAGAAAACGCCATGTAATTTTTAAAATATACATATCCCCCTAAGGGGAGTTTTGCCAAGAATTGCCACGCTTGAAAGCAAATGCTGCTGGGAATGGAAATGATGCTGCAAAGGAATGCTGCTGCCCCTCCCTCGCCATCCCTTAGTCGACTCTAGCGAAAACCATGGAAAAAGAAGAGGTGGCCTATTCTATGTCGGGACTAAATTGCAAAAAAATATTATGTATTATAACCATACATGTATTATTTATAATTGTACGAAATGGTTCTTTTCATAATAATTATATTGTAATTATTTATATCGACGTACATCATTGATTTTCCATAAACGAAAGTATCTTGTGAAAATCACAATATGTGTTACTAATATAGTAATAACGTTATATTTTAATAAAATGTTACTTGTAAAAATATCGTTCAAATTAATTTCTCTGATTAGGAGGTCGTACCTCCTGTGAATATAATCACATTTTACCACAATAAAAATTTGGATGACGATAACTGGCATTTATGGGGTACAGCCCTTCTAAAGCAAAATTGTACCACTTCAATAAAATTAAGAATTGCAGTCGATAACATTGAGAGACAACCATTTGTCCACTGTCCTTTGAACGGGTTTAAGGCAAAACGATTGTTATAAATGTTGTACATATTCATATTTTATGTTTCAGGTTCTTCGCGCTTAAAACTTGGTTTCTCGAGTACAAGAATTTTACGTACGGTGCTCCAGTCCATAATTTGAAAGCAGTTGGCCATTACACGCAGATGGTGTGGGCCACAAGTCACAAACTTGGATGTGGGTTAGCTCATTGTCCTGGTGGGCCTTGGGGGCATTTTTACAATTACGTGTGTCATTATTGTCCTGCGTAAGTTATTATTTAAACTACTTATTCTTCCATATCTTGAAGAAAATTCTATTAAACAGATGTTACCTTTACATCTAGACAGAAAAAACCTCAAAACAATGATAGGGACAATAACGGGTCATTGTCCATTAAACAAACATCTATACACAATAGGAGCCACAGACAGTGGCTCCTATTGTGTATAGATGTCGAGGCTGTTTCGACGCCGAAGAAACGGCTGCTCACGTAATCCTGGAATGTGAGGCTGTGGCCCATCAACGTTTAGAAATCCTCGGAACGGTGAGGTCGCTCCGTGAGGCCTGTGAAGCACCCAGGAAGCTTCTGCGCTTCTGGACGGAGCTAGGTTGGCTGCACTAGCCACGACTCATACGCACAATGGCCCAAATGAGAGGCTAAGCGCGGAAAATGGAGTCCTTTTCACATTCACATTCACATTCACAGATGTTACCTTCTTTCGGGAACATTTCCAAAAGATTTTTCTTAAGGTTCTATGTTGTATATGAAACATAACAAACCTTGTGCTATACCTATATATGGCCAAAATATCAAGTTTAGCTTGTCAGATTGACCTCCTCTGAAAATTATTAATCCCTAATGAAATAGTTACGGTGCACTAGTGATTTGCATCCTCGCCGTTTTGTGACAGTGACGATAGAAATATAAAGTTATCAATGCTTTGATATTTGTATAACATTAATATAGACATGTGCACTACGTCATATTTGTATATCGTAAAAAGTATCAAATCTCTACACCTATAATTTTTGCTGTTTAGTCAGCTTATTTTTTAGGTTAAATACCTACGTGTCATCAAGGCATTAAATGTCACATAAATAGTCAGATTTTTTGATGATGACATGTCAATGGATACTTCATTATATAAAATATAAAACGCATAGTGCATATTTATTACACAGGCATTGTGCTAACTAAGAAAAATTATTACTTATCGTGAGTAATTCAGATATGGTAGTCAAATGACATGGCATAAAGTCAGGATGAAGAAAATGATGATAAGCTAATGCTGAAGTATTAATCATATTAATAAAATCTATAGTTTTGCACGTCATATCTATTATATGATGTGTAAAACTATAGGTTCTTGTTTTTTTTTTGTTATATTTAAATTAGAAATTAGGTGAATTAAAAAAGAATATTATAACTGGTTCACAATAGATGCCAATATTGCATTGGTCCAAAGATAAACCGAGAATTTTCTTCTTTATAAAGTTGGTTAAAAGTGGACCGTTAAACTTATAGAAAAAAGTTTATTCAATTTTTAAGTCTTTACCGAATTTTACCTAAATAAGTAGGTATAATAGATATATCTTTTGTTTTAAAGGAAAATCTATTATTTCTATATTCTTTTCGATTCATTCAGATTGTATCCGTATAGTTCTACGATTTAGTTTTACTAGCAGAACAAAACGGACTAAAAATCTAGTTCTATTAATAAGAAAGAACGAAGAAAGAAATTACATTAATTTGCATTCAGATTGTTTAACGATATAGTTGTCGTAAGATTTTTATAACGGCATTAGTTTTCCCTTGATATTGCCTGAATTTGACGCTCAAGCAGTCGTGTCAAATAGAAAAAATGATAAGATAGCACCAGATTGACATGTTAAGTCATTCTCAAAAAAAAATTAATGTATATAATAATGCAAGATTAACATCTTATATATGGGATCCTAGTATCAATTTTTTTTATACTGTGCCAGTAATTTACTATGTATAAATATTATAGTAATTTTTAATTAATAAATTTTTCTTCAATATAATTTAATTATATTCAATATCAGTTATAAATTATTTGGAACATCTATAGTAAATATTTGCGTGGCCCGTTCTATGCCTGGACCACACGAGCTATCCCTTCCTCTCCCGTGGGTATCGTAAGAGACTACAGTAATTTATGGATCAAGATTTGTTAGCATGATAGCAGGGCCTCTCTTAAAACAGCACCAAAAGCCTAACTGCGGTTGCAAACCCGTTTGTCAAATGTGGCAATTACTGGCAAAACCCCCTTATGGAGGAGGTCTATATTCAACAGTGGATATCTAACGGCTGAAATAATTATGATAGCAAGGATTTACATTTTGAGGTCATTGTAATACTTAAATAAAATACATATCTACTATATGATGTCACACTGTTGAAAAAAGGCCCCTCTTTTTTTTTAAACGGTTTCGTCTAGTCAAACTACAACTTAAAGAATTCATTAAAATTATTTCCATCTGGGTACACTTTAATAAATACATCTCTGTCTATTCGATCACGAACTTTGCCTATCTTTCTAGCCATTTTCAACATATGTATAACGCATAAATGTCCAACTTTATCAAGCTCACCAATTTTATTTTGAGATATCCTTGCTTTGCACTATTGTAATCTTAGTACCCATTTTTATTCCATCGTCACATGGAATATAATAAAATAATCTGCATGGTATTAATTTTCCAGGGGCAACTTCGACACCATAACTCAGTACCCATATAAAGTGGGTTCGCCGTGTGGCGATTGTCCAAATGATTGCATCTCAGGCGAACTGTGTACTAACTCGTGTCCTCTGAAGGACTACTATTCAAACTGCGATCAACTAGTGGAATTGACAGATATCTGCGGACAAGGTGTTTGCAATGCGACCTGTACCTGCGGCAGTACCAGATTGTATAAAAATTATCCTTGGTAGCATCTAAGTTTTTGTCTGTATATCTTTTTTAGATTTGTATGTCAATTATTTGTATTAAACTATACTGTATAAAATATGATAGCTTTATCCACAATAAAAAACAATTTTGTATATACTTTCATATTTAAAGTTAGTGTACAAATTAAGATACAATAGTATTTATATAAAAGATACATTATTTTTAACCTTAAGTATGTATATAAATATATAATATGTTTAAAGCGATAAAATATAATAAAATTATTAGCCTATAAAACAATATAAATTTACATCACATGTTACCAAAGTTACAGTGCGTGTAATAACAAGCATCTTGTAATTTTTTTTTTTATTATGGGCTGTATTTGTAGTTTTAATATAAATTCGACTCGCTTCACGTACCAAATTAAACGTATCACATCAATCACTACTGATCTCCTCTATACAATTTTATTATGTTAAATAGACCAAATACGTTCAGGATGACAAACACATTTGTTCAATCACATATACATATGCACGCACGCATGCGCGCACGCACATTCATGACACATATACACTCCATTACACTACACTCTAAGTATATCAGCTCATTCAACATCCCATTGCACAGGGCGCGGATGCCTTCCATAGGAGAAGTAGTCTACGTCTGCGTTAATCGTAATGATTGGGTTATAATCCCGTACAAACAAACAATTATTTCACAAAAATATTATAATTGATGTTATACTCGTACATAACTATATATGCAAACAATAGAAGAAAATATTGAAAATTGATATTTCTATTTTTATTACTTGATCTATCCTATCCATATATATCCTCTTCAATGTACCTAAGTTAATTATTAAAAGAGAAATATTATTAATATACTAGCTGACCCCGTAAACGTTGTTTTACCACTTATTGCGAAATATAAAAATCGCGATTAAAAGACAGGGGTTGATCGTAAAACGATGAAAATTTTAAGTTGTGTGTATTTTTCAACGCTAAATCATAATAAAATAAAAACGGAAAAATTTGTTAATAAAATAAAAAAAAAATTTTGGGGAGGGTCACCCTTATCATTGAGGGGTATAAAAAATAGATATTGGCCGATTCTCAGACCTACCCAATATGCACACAAAATTTCATAAAAATCGGTAAAGCCGTTTCAGAGGAGTTTGGTAACAAACACCGTGACACGAGAATTTTATATATTAGATTATAAGGGCTCTCTTACTATATAGCATATATGTTCATATCTTATTACAATGTAAATTGAATATAGTGTATCTTGTACGTTACAGCACAGATAATATAATACTATACTAGGTAACAGTAACAGTCTGCAGTGAAGCTCACCCGGCATGGGTCACGCACTCGGGCACAACAGGTGAGTCAGCAGGTGGGGTGCTTGTCGGCGCGTGACACCACCTCTTGACTGCTTCGCCTTTGCCCCACTTATCTATCTTACGTAATTGTATTGCATATAAACAGTACAGTGACATTACATTAATACTATTAATAGTAATTTTCAATAGGATTTGATTGATGATTCGCTGGAGCTATTGCAAAAAACAGTAACCTAATAGGTACGAGAATGGTCTATTTCAATAGAACTTAATTAGAAGATAACTAAGTTTTGTTGTAATTATCACAGAAACACTGTGTAAATGAAATTAGTAACGAATTGAAACATTCAATTAATTAATTTACTTTTTTTATTTGAACATCAGCAGAATGTATATAATCGAGTCAATTATTCGTTTATTCATTATTTGATTAAGTTCGATTGAAAAAGATTTTAATTTACTCATGTTTGCTAGTATCTTGTCTACATAAAAACTTTAAAATTCTGCAGGTTGATGTTGATAAGATAGGTATTGATGACCGTATAAAGAGCCTATGAGGAAGCAATTGATAAACATTTTGATAGGATAGCCGTATCTCTTTAGAAAAGATTTTTACCAGATGATCTTATCAAATAAGGTGTCACATATAGTATTGTATTATAATATAACATTTATGACTTTTTAGTTGCTAATATGAACCTAAATTTTTTTTATTTCACCCAAAGATATTTATGTAACAGTTATTTGTAAATATTATCTGAGGATTTTACGTAACTACGTATACGTATAATACGTACAAGATTGGTTATAAATAATAAAATCTTACATATGATTGCTATTTTACAATAAAAAGAATAAGATATTAATGTAGAAGTATTATTATGGTGTTATTGTTGAAGTCAATTTGTATTCCACCGTGTTCCCGATTGACCGAACAACATGTTTCCCACCCCCACTACGTATCCGACCCAATTGTTATGCAGCAACGGGCGCGTAGTCCGGCGCGCGGGCATTGCGGCGCCGGCTATCGTGGTTCGCGACCACCTGTCGTCGCGCCATGGTTTGCGATGACGGCTTACATGCCTCATCGCCTCACCTTCGCCGAAAATCGCTACGTCGACTCGCATCCACACGTGGATTTAAACCTCGCATCACCTGGACTCTGGTTGGATACGAGTTTTTGAAGGTCTGGAGCCCTTTGCTGTTGATGCACCTAGCAAATTAGTCAAGGTCTCACATAACACCACCGTAGATGAATTAAACAAGACACTCGGCTTTGGGGAAGAATTGACACTATGGATACAAATTGGTGGAGAAAAATCCCGGCGATTGGAATTAGATGAATTTCCGTTGCGAATTCAACAACAATTTCTGGCGACTTACGGGTGGAAGTCTGAAGCACGTCGCTTGCGTTTGGCGGTAGACCCAGAACTGCGGCATTCTCTGCGATGGTGCACTGGCCCAGCAGCGAGTGCTGGAGGTGCTCTGCAATCTGGCACTGTTTACGTGTTGAAGGGGCACGTATTCCCGCAATGGAGACCACGATCTGCTCACATAATTGGTTCACGTTTACATACTTATGGTGCGTTGACTTCTTTATCGAACTTAAGAATATGTTTATGTTGGCTGTTAAGTTGTGAATATACAATGTTCCTATTTAATCTTCTAGGTGCTTCTTGGGAAATGCTAGAGCTAAGTGGCGGTACTATAGAGCTGTGCCAACCCAAATCCCAGAGAATGGTTATATGTGTGAAGCCTCGTTGTCAAGGAAACACTGTTCTGAACGATGGAGGAATGAATCACCTTTTTTTGGGCTTCAGTACTGTGTGGGAGAGAAACATGTGGTTCTGCTGGCTAAAAGAGGTAAGCATTGTAGTATACATATATATATACATATTAGATGTCTGTAGTTAAAATTGCAGAATATTTTTATTATACCTCACTATATATATTTTTTTATACATTTATATGTTATATCGATAACAGCGAATTAGAATTCAGTCTTAACAATAATAAATACTTATGACCATAATATGTGTTAGACTAATAGTTGTATAATGAGACAAGGTAGGTCTTGAAATATTTTCGAATTATGCGGCTATTAATTTCTTTTAATTAGTAAATAATTTTTTATCATTTTATTTTTCTGATAAAAAAGAAACTTTAAAATGTGTGAATTTGATGCAATATCATTATATTTCGGTGGTAAGGTTTTAGATTTATTTGAATAGATATTGGTACTTATTTGTTTAACTATATTACGAAGCAGCAATTTGCAATGTATGTTTGGTTCGAATACAAAAGTGATTAATGATGGCTGTGACATAAGAGACATAATTTTTTTGTTTTAAGTGTATTGTAAATGTTATAGACGACCTTGCTATATTTTGAGAATGTAATGGCGCTGTTCATTTATCTAAATAACGGTTATCGCTTTCTATCTAATGAGCAATTACTTTATTTGTTAGTCCTGGTAGTTAACCTAATGTAATAATAGTATAAACATAAAAACAACTGTTAGTATACCAATACTTCACAAATATAATACATAAATATTGCATTTTGATGCACCAATCTGCAACTCTGCACTTCACAGAATATCTAGTAAATTCTTAGCAGATAACTGAAAATTCTATTCCGGTACACTTCCTAAACTAACGAGCCGTTAACGTAACAGAAGCAAATTGCTAGAAATCTCCCGATTCTCGATGCTTATTAAGCTTTTGACATTTCAATGTGCAATTTCATGTCATTCAAGATAGGGTTATGAATTTGCTAACATGTACGTTATATAACATTAAAAAAATTCAATTAATTCTAACTTTGGTTGCTTTCAACGTACTAAGTCGGTAATCCTTTAATTTGCCTATCTATACACAGTTACTTATAATAGTACTAAAATTATAGTATTTGGTGAGAATTAGTTCCAAATATTTTAGGCATAAAATATATATTAAATCTCATGATGCCTTTCACATGAATCATCATAATGTTTATCGCAAACGATTAAATTTCGTCGAAGTAACAACGGCTGATTATATGGTATTGCAAATTTGTCTAATGACGAATTAATCTTTTCTCCACGAATGTGCAACTGTAATTAAAAAAAAATGATGGAAAGTCTACTGTCTCAGGTTTTATTTTAATCCAGTTATACTTAAATATGTTAGTCCTGCTGTGTTTAGACAAAATATTAAGGAATGCCACAGCATTATATATGAAAAACTAGAAAACTATCATGTAATAATATAAATCAGAACAACCATATTGAAACCAATATTTATAGTTTTTCCTATATTGTGGTAATTTCACTTTTATTAGAAACTGTAATTAATGATTAGTTTGAGTCTAGTAGTTTTTTTTTTTATTTTTGCATATATTTAATCGCAAATTAATGTCTACTGAGTGTATTAATTAGAAATTGCGCACAATACCCTAAGAGAAAAGTCACGGTCGAGGTGTCCAGATTACGGGCATGACTCGCGCGACAGCACTCAGGACAGTCTGTTGCCGTCACCGACACTAGCAAAAAGTCATTCCAAACGGTCGCACATCATATTCCGGTTTTAAATTCTGTACTTAAGAGCTAAATAGTAAAAAAAAAATACTTTATGTTGAGTTAATAAAAACAGTGATGAATATTGCACAAAAGATTGTTGGGGCAAATAAACAAAATTTGAAAATATTAAATTTAACAATAAATGTTTCTAACATGCTTGATTCTTTTTTTAACAATACATCAACAATGACATTTAAATACTATTTATGCAAGCTACAAGTTCGTGATCAGAATAACGTAATCGCAGACAGGAATTTTGTAGTCTTTGGGAATAGTAATGCTTGAAGGAGTTCGTCGGCCTCACCATGGTTATAAACCGAAACCAACGGATAAGTGATTTTCAGTTAGGTATAGTTGTATTTAAAAATATCGTTTTTATAGCTTTGGATTAGTAATTATACTAAAATATGAAAACATTAATAGTATGATGGTGAGTGTTGTGAACGATGTGAAAGTGAAAATAATCGGATAAAAATGACGGACGAAGACTTGGATAGCTTGGATGTGTTTAATCAACAAAATGAGGATTACTTTCTTGATAGTTTGGAGCCGACTATGCTACAGGAGAAATTCGAAGAGACGGTGTGTAAAAAAACAAAAGTCTATTAAATAAGTTAATAAATTAAGTCCGCGATATTCACATGATTATCATGTTTTATTATAATCTTACTTATTGTTCTGATGTAATAATCAACATAAAATTATTTAATTAATCTATTACCTTACAATATAAGCATAATGTATAAGTTAAGTCTTCATATTTTTTTAAAATACATATATATATAATTGACACAAGTATCGTAGGCGATCAACATGATATATTTTTTATATAATTTGGAACATTGTATAAAAAGAACAATTTGTTATATTTTAACAAAACGCATAACATAAAATTATCAAACAAGTTTTTTTAAATATACGACAGCGGTGGTAAACATGCTTACAATGGTTGGTGGTAATTACCACATAAGGTACATAAAATTCTTAAATCTAGTATAATTTTCCTGTTAACTTACAAAATTACTACACTAAATTAAATGCGGTTATCACAGTTATATTCCTAAAGGTCTTATTTAAAATATGGTATAGGTACACTTTATCCTCCATCTAGAAGTAGTTCATTATTCATTAGTTTGTTCACTTCTGAAATTTACTCGTACGAACTAGTAGTCAAAAAGCTAATAGCAAATATAATTCTATTCTAATTTATAAGTATATATTATAAATTGATATATAGGTTGATTTTATGCCTATTTTTGAAAATAATTGATTAGTTTTTGTTTGCGGCTTAAAAATATTATCACTAATGCATTTTTTCAGGCTATTCAAAGTACTCAACCTCCTAATGTATTGGATCTCAGTGGCGGCGGGCGCGCTTCCCTTAGCGTCGCCCTCGCTCAGCACACCGCTGGTGCTTTTACGGTGCGAGTGCTACGGCTCCGACAGAACGCGCTTAGGGTGCTGCCCCCACAAGTGTGGAGCTTGCACTCACTAACACATCTCGATATCACCGATAATAGAATTAGAGAACTACCCGAAGAAATGTGCCAGTTAACGCAGTAAGTTAATATCAATTTATTACTATGACATAATAGGAACAGAATATTAAAATATACTATCATAATTTAAAATATGTGATTTCAAGAATAATAAAAAAATATATAATTATCATGTTGAGCGTTAAAAGTAAATAAAACTGTCCAGTGATTTTATTTGTTGTAGTGTTGCGAATTGCTGATTTGTTATTTTATTGAAGAACAAAAAGAGTCGATTTTATAATAACAGTGCCTCCTTCTTGAAGTCACTTCAAACTGAACACAGTTTTCATTACTGTACGAATATGACATTTTGTTAAGGACTAAAATAAAAATAATGTAATAATTTGACCAAAAAGAGCCCATTTACGAATTATAATATAGTTTTAATAATGAAGCAAATTCTAGGAAATGGGAAAAATAAGTTTTTAATTATTTCATACAACATTTGGCCAGACAGTTGGGGGGAAGGAATTATTAGTAATGCGAACTACCAGACCCATTGCTAGCAATACACCCTGTCCGATCGACTTCCACGTTGTCCCTTCTGGAAATTATCGTGATGAATTCTAGGTTTAACTGACCTGCTCATCATATCTTTTCATTTTTACCTATCTTTCTACACTGGTGCCCCGCCAGAGTATACTGTTAACGCAGGCGAGTTTACCATTCCATTATTATCCATTAAAAACAAAAACAGATGGTTATACGTTGAGTGACTATTTGGCTATTTATAAAAAAAATTTGCATGCAAAAATATTTGTATCGAGCAGAACATATATACCTAAACTTCATATTTTACGTTTTTTATAAAATACTAGCATCCAGTGTATATCTCTAATATAATTTTATTATAGAGCAAATCATGGCTGATGCTACATGTAAATCTAGGTAAAATTAGTACAAATTTAATTTTAGTTCTAAATTTAAGTTTGTATTTTAAGCTTGTTACAAAATACAAACAAACTTGACTTCTTTAATATAATTTTGGGAGCTATTATTAGCTGTGGCTAACTATAATTAGTTAATTTTTTTTTATTGAACTTTAAGATTTCATTTTCACTTTCATATTCACAAAGAGTAACAGAACTTGTTTGCAAGTGTTTTGAACCGGACCAATGTGAATGAACTGAGGCTATTATTGCCCAATTAATTGTGTTGATGGGCTGGGAATATGTTATAAGAAAAATTTACTGCATAATCTACGAGTTCTTTATCATCATAATTTCTTTATAAGAAAACTTGATAAATAATAAAACTCAGAATAATGCATCACGTTACATATATATAGATTAATATACATATATGTGTGTGTAACGTGATTTAGCATATTTTATAGAAATTGATATAAATTCCTAATTGTTAGGTGATTATAAATATATAAAAAAAATAATGCCACAATATTGCATCCTGAGAATACACGAGTAGTATCAAATTTTAAGCGTGAATTTAATGTGTGCAAATACAACTGCTTTACGTTTGAAACACGAATGGTAAATATTGCATCATGAGAATACACGAGTAGTATCAAATTTTAAGCGTGAATTTAATGTGTGAAGTAGTTGGGGCATCTATATATCCGAATGTCTATATGTTTAAACTTTCAAACGACTTTACACATTTTTGCATACTTCAGTGTGTTAGATTAAGACTAGTGACAGTAGAAACATATTTATTTCTAATAAGAAACTTTTGAAAGAAAGCGATGTTTTGTGCAATGCATTACAGAAATTCAGATACTATTTAATATTAATTTTGTCACACGCAAATATTTTAGCAGAACAAAATCTATTTGTTAGCAATATACCCTTCTGTTAGATTAATCGTAACGCTAAAAACCGTCGTGGTTAATTCCTGGTGAATTAGTCGAGATAAGCCAACTAATCAGACTTCATATTCACTTCTATACTTACCTCATTTACTGGTACCCCATTAGTGCTCTACTTCATTAAAAAAAATATAATATACCTAAGTTTATTTATGTAAATTTTTTTTTATACAACTTAGAATGGCAAACAAGTTGACGGCCCACCTGATGGAAAGTGGTAACCGTCGCCTATAGACATGAGCAGTACCATGGACATAACAGAGTATACTGTTTCGCCCATGATACCCCCCATGCGTTACCATTCCTAAGAACTCAGGTATTATTCCTCTGTACCCTGTAAATTCACGCCATATCCCACCCTTCAAACCGAAACACAGCCATGCAAACACAATTGCTTCACGGTAGAAAGACGAATGGGGCAGACGTACCCAAGCAATCGACTTTTGTACAGTCTCCCTCTAGATTGATGTGATTGTCAGGTCAAGAAAAATATGTAGAATAAGTAGTTTCCAGAATGAATTGAGCATTCACGACAGAGCTCGGTATGTGCGGGGCCCGCTCGGTAACGCACGGGTGGTGGACCGTGACGTTTTGCACCTCTAGTGCTCTCTTAGCCTTCGGACATCGAAGCATCGCTGCGCCACTTTGATGTTAAGATTTATTAATAGGTATCACAAAACAATATTATTTAAGTAACCACCAGTATCTGTATCCTACGTACAATTTACGAGATAAATTATAATTCGATTAATATCATATCTTTATAATTTTTGACATATTTTATATCAACATAGAATATAAAACACCAAATGTTATATTATTTAAATTAAAAAACATTCACCATTTTGTTTCTTAGCTAAATTATTGCTAAATATATAGGTACCAGTTTTTGCCCGCAACTTGTGGTATTAGATTTCACGCGGGAATTGCTAGCTTTTATCCGCGACTTCGTCCACGGATATGTTCACTGACTGGGATAAAAAATAGCATATCTCCATCTAGATATAATACATGGATATCCAAAATTTTATAGTAATTGGTATAAAGCGTTAAATTGCAACTCCCTATTTTATATCTTTTGTCCTCCTTACCTTTTTAGAAGAATGGTTTTTCAAAAATAATAAAATACTTAACAGAAGACTGAATTTAAAACTTCACCTTCTAAACTTGAAATTCACAAATTTAAATACAAATTTTCATCTAAAACAAACCAACCCTATATCATCCCTTTAGGGGTACAATTTCCAAAAACTGCTGAAAAACGTTTTGTTCTAATTAAAACCCTAAGACTAACTTTAACACTTCTAACTGCAAAAATAACATAATTTCTATACAAATTTTCATTCCTTATTTCACTCCTTTAGAGGTGAACTTTCCAAATATGTTGAAAAATATTTTATTTCTAATCAGAAATCTAAAATTAAAGTTTTGTATTTCTAGTTTCAATTATAATAGGAATTCTATACAAACTTTCATCTCTTATTTAATCCCTTACAAGTGAATTCTTCAAAAGCCAATAAACATATTAATTTTTGTTTTGAATCAAATGTCTAAATCTAATATTTCACGTGTTTAACTTCTAAAGGGATAAACAAAATCCCCTTTTAAAAAAAAACTTATTGTCCAACGTAAGGAGTTTACCTACAAAATTACAAAATTCTTTACTTACTAGTTTCGTTACGTATACGTATATACATACATATACCTGTAGGTATAGAAGAAAAAGAAGATACCATTCGACGTAGAAAAATAAACTGAATTTAATGATATATACAGCTCAATATCGGCTAAAGTGACACTTTATGGACTTTGCCTTTATAATAAGTATAATAAATTGAGATTCAGACAATTGATGTATTGGTGTGCTATTTGCACATCATTACATTATATTTTCCTTTATATTTAGCATATATTACTGTATAATTTTATGAGCCTATTATTATTTTCATTTATTTTTAGCATATGTCAGCTTGTAAAATAAATTGATTAGCGAGATATTTTAACTTACTGAAACATTAAACAATGATTAGCAGAAATTTGGTTTAGAGAAATGGCACCATAGAATCGGCCCCAATATTTAGTCTAACTGGTCATTTTAAATCAGATAGTAGTTTGATATCCTAACATATAGTTTAACAATGTAAATTATTTTAGGAATTGAATAACTGTAGGGATTAATAGCCTGAATAAAGAATAAATATTGATTCATAAATAATATAAAAGTAGATTCTGATAGTTTTAATCCTGTATAATGAAGAATGACTAATTTTTTTGTAAGTCTTTTATAGATAAAGTGGAACAATTATACGGCTAATTTTATTATAAAATAATAAAGCACTTTATAAAGACATTCAAATTTCTTAATAATAATACATTCCAATTGTTATCCAATACAAGTAGTTCTACTTAATCAATAATGCAATCACTGTTTGCCGATATATAATCTAATAACTTGATAATTTTTAATCACTGTGTTTACAACATTTTGTTAATTTATTTGTTCAAACTTTTTATAAAAATAAGCTAAAAGACTTCATTCACTTTATCTTTCTTGCATAAGACCTTAGATGCCAGAGAATATGGAAAGTTGTTGGAATTACAATAAGTTTGAACATTCGGAATGTATTTGAAATTGTAATTTCACTAAAAAGCTAAATATATAATTTTCTTCAATAATATTTCCCTTGCAGGTTTTGTGGTTGAACGAACTTTTGAAATTTGATGTAGGTACAAGGTTTGAGGAATAAAGTATTGTACATTACTCCGTATTTTAGGAGAGGTATACTGTGTTTATGTACCAAAGTACTTAATAGTATAGTTTAAGTTTAGAAAGTAAAGATAAAAAAAATAAAGTTTATATGTAGGAATATGTGGTAATCTGTAATTATCTAAATTTTTGAATCATTCGTGGCGAAGCAGGTCCATAAGCTGCTTTCAGTCACATTAAATCAAGTCGACGTCACCAGGTTACTGAACAATATTACCACCTGGAAGAAAAGCCTGGCCGAAGTGCAATTTAGGTTGAAAGCATTGTAAACTACCATTATGGAACTGCGAACCGAAGTTGGTTATTTAATCAACATCAATTCAGTAAGTAGGTTGCCTGAGGTATCCAACGTAAACACGGAACGTGAAGTGCAAAATGCATTTATTGGCAGTTTTGACCACGTGCCGGTAGATGACACCGCATCCGATG